CCTAAATCGAACTGCACATATACCATTTGATATACACTAATGGTCAATCCGTTGGATTACTTGAATTTGTTGAATGATTACAATCTCCACAGGCTTTCGAGAGGCATGAGACTCCCAAAACGGTTTCTCGCTCAACCAGTGTTCACAAAACAGAATGCCTTTCCCTTTAATCTCCTCAATTATGTTGGTTTGGATTATGAAAAATCTTGTTTTGAACTAGTATCGTTATGTTTGTTTGGATTAATATGAAATACGTGTTTTTGTTGAATCGAATTCGAATAATGGGTTTTTATTAGATGAGGGTTAAAATGGTAATTTATTGTCATTCAGAGAACAGTTACCAAACAACATTACTTCATTCAGCACTTAACCATTCTGACCCTCTTAACCATTCTGACCTCTTAACTATTCTGCACTAAATCATTCAGCAACTGCCAAACAGCCCCTTAGTTTTGTAACAAAATATACTACAGTAGTATGTGTGTGTATAACTGTATATGTATATATATATATATATATGTATATACATACTAGAAGGGTACTCGTACAATGCAGCGAAATACATCTCCATTTTAATATTTCATTTTTTTTTGTCTTAGTTGATGTCATAATACAATTTTATGATGTTTTGAGAAAGTGATAATATTTTTATTTTTTAATAAAATATAAATATGAAGATATATTGTAACAAAATAAAAAAAGTTATTGATATTAGTACCAAACTAATTATTTAAAATTTATCATTATTGTGTATTTCCTTAACTCTTTTTTGAAAAAAATTGGTTTAATAATATAATTTATACTATAATATAAAACATTTGACAAAAACTCTTAAAAACCATTTTTTTATGCATGAAATATTGTTTATTGATGCATATTACTTAAAATTTAAGATTACAGGTAATTTTGCGTAAATACAACTTATTAAAACTCCATTTTTAAATTCGTGTAACTAACTGCTGATAAACATAATCAAATATAAGATAAAGATAGAAAATATAAAATATAATTAAGATAATCATTAATTTCTGTCAGAATGTTTAATTATTATATTTATAAAAAATTATATTATTAAACCAAAATTAATCTATATCTATATTATATTATAAAGTATTTGACAAAAACTTTTAAAAATCATTATTTATGCATGAAGTACTATGCATTAATGCATATTACTTAAAATTTAAGGTTACAAGTAAATTATGTGTAAGTACAACTTATTAAAGCTCAACTTTTGAATTCGTATAACTAACTACAGATAAACATATTAAGATTTAGGATAGACATCTCATTTTAAGTATAAAAAAATCTAAAATATAATTATGATAATCATTAAGTTCTAACAAAATTATTATCTTTATAGAAAAATTATTGTTAAGCCAAAAATAAATTATTTCACTATTTGACCTAAATTAAATTATAATAAAAATTTGAACTAAAGAAATTGTACAAAAAAAACGAGAACTTTTGAATAGTTAATTTTATATTAATATCGATATATTTTTTCAAATTTTTATGATCTTCAAATTTATTTTTATTTAAAAGTAAATACATTATCTTTCTCAAAATCACATAAACCGTATTATATCAACATAGACAACAAAAAAAAAAAAACGAATTAGTAAAATGAAGATGTATTTGGTTGCATTGCGCGAGTACCCTTCTAGTTTTCTATAAAGATAATAATTAAGTAGTTTGTTACAACTCAATAATTATTCTAATTATATTTTAGATCTTTTTATATATAAAATGAGATATTTATTCTCTATTTGATTATGTTTATCTGCAGTTAGTTATACGAATTCAAACATGAAGCTTTAATAAGTTGTACTTACGCACAATTCACTTGGGATCTTGAATTTTAAGTAATATGCATCAATAAACAGTACGTCATGCTTAAATTTACTTGTAATCTTTAATTTTAAATAAATGCATCAATAAACAATACTTAATGCATAAAAAATGGTTTTTAAGAGTTTTTGTCAAATGCTTTATATATGTACTAGAATGATACTCGCACAATATAGCGATATATATCTCAATTTTAATGTTTCATTTTATTATTTATTTAATGTCGATATATTGCGATTTTTAGTGGTTTTGAGAAAAAGATAATGTTTTTATTTTTGAATAAAATATAAATTTAAATATACCATAAAAAATTGAGAAAAAATATATCGATATTAGTATCAAATTTACTATTTAAAGTTCTGGTTTTTTGTGTAATTTCTTTAATTCAATATTTTATTTATAATTTAATTTAGATTTAATGACGAAGTAATTTATTTATCTTTTAACAACTAGAAAGGTACTTGTGCAATGCATCGAGACACATCTTGATTTTAATGTCTCATTTTATTATTTATCTATTTCAATATAATACCATTTTATGTGGTTTTGAGAAAACGATAATGTTTTTATTGTTGAATAAAATATCATAAAAATTTGAAAAAACTAAATATCGAGATTAGTATGAAATTAAGTTTTTTTTTTTGTGTAATTTTCTTAATTCAAAATTTTTATTATAATTTAATTTAATTTAACATAACGAAGTAATTTAATTTATGTTCAATAATATAATTTTTGTAAAGATAATAATTAAATATTCTGTTAGAAGTCAATGATTATCTTAATCATATTTTAGATTTTCTATATTTAAAATGAATATTTATTATGTATTTGATTATGTTTATCTGCAGTTAGTTACACGAATTTAAAAATGAAGCTTTAATAAGTTGTACCCATGTAAAATTACTTGTAATATTGAATCTTAAGTAATATGCATCAATAAACAGTATTCTATGCATAAAATTTTATTTTTAAGAGTTGTTATCAAATGTTTTATAATATAGTATAGATAATATAATTTTCTTATATAATTAATTATTTTGTTAGAACTCGATAATTATCCTAATTATATTTTAGAATTTTTATATTTTAAAATGTAAAGATAATAATTAAGTATTCTGTTAGAATTCAATGATTATCTTAATTATTCATTTAGATTTTTTATATTTAAAATTAGATGTTTATCATGTATTTGATTATGTTTATCGACAGTTAGTTACACAAATTTAGATATAGAGCTTTAATAAGTTGTAGTTACACATAATCTACTAGTAATCTTGAGTTTTAAGTAATATGCATTATTAAACAGTACTTTACGCATAAAAAATGATTTTTAAGAGTTTTTGTCAAATGCTTTATAATATAGTATATATATGTTTTTTATAAACATAATAATAATGTATTTTGTTATAACTAATGATTATCCTAATTATATTTTAGATTTTTTATATTCAAAATGAGATATTTATCTCGTATTTGATATTTATCTATAGTTAGTTACACAAATTCAAAAATGAAACTTCAATAAGTTAACTTACGTACATTTTACTTATGATCTTGAATTTTAAGTAATATTTATCAATAAATAATATTTTATGCATAGAAAACGATTTTTAAAAGTTTTTTTTTTCAAATGCTTTATAATATAACTAGAGATGGTCAAATTGGGCCCATCCCCCCATAAAGGTCCAAGACCGGTTATTATACTTTTTATGAAATTTCAAGACCCTCGACGTGGATTTTTTACAAAAATAAGCTATTACAACTTATATTACAAGTTTTATTGAGAGACTTTTACAATATTTTCAGGTTCTTCAAAATTTTCAATTTTTTTCTAAGATTTTATCTATTTACATGTATTAGTTAAAGTGTATTAAAAATACTAAATTCAAAAGTCATAATTATGAAAACATGTAAAACATTTTTATATAAAAAAGATTCACCATGTTGAAGAAAAAAAATGTTTATACCCTTAGCGGTAGAGATAGCCAAATGGGCCTGG